TGGCACATCTTTCTGTATCCTCCCGCCCTGGACTACGCCAACAGAAAATCCTTCCCCCCGACCCAGCAGCTGGCATAAATTGAGTTGCCTTTCCTAGCCAACAGAGTCAATATCTTATTATTATTTGCGCTCAATTTCATTTGATTTGCGTGAGAATCCCTGGCCGCCAAGTGGAAGCTGTGCAGGATATCAGGAATGTCAACAGAATCCTATTTACTATTCAATTTAAGGTACAATGTAGGCTTTATATTTTCCAGTCTATCCCATTAAATAGTTATTAAAGAATAGTAAGGTTTCAATTATGATATAAAAAAAAACTTTACTAAATACATGTAAAAATATATACACACATACCCTTATATTTAGATTTTTTGCCTGATTTTTAAGTTTTTTATAAGATGAGGAACAATTGAGACGAGAAACTATAAAATGTATTTATTTATCAATTATTTGATCAATTATTGATTATTTTTATTAATTTATTGAATACGAGTACGAGCCCCCACTGAATACTACAAAATTCCAGCGATAGGTCAAAATCAGAAAAGTACACTGAACATATTTAGTAATATTTTTAACGAAATTTTTGAAGGCGTGGATTCGTAAGTCTAAAACAATTAACCAGTTTTTGTGACCCTTTCAAAAGATATTCCTAAAACAAGTAGATAGTGAATCTTACAGAATATATACTGGACAAAGCATAAAGTTAAAGCATTTATGTATAAATTTAAAACATAAAACATAATATTAACGAGTTCTTAAATTTTTTGAATTTAAGTCACAAGAGATTTGAATAATATTGTTTATCGAGGTTTTTTTTCGTGCTTTTTCTTACACTTAAAGAAATAATGCGCTGTGAAAAAATATTTAGGACGGCTAACGATCATTAAGATTACTTCTTGTCTATAATTTATGTTATTTTATTTAAATAGAAAATACATCAGCAAAAATTTTTGAAAACCTTTTTACTCACAGAAAAAAGTAAATAATATATGGTAGTTTGAACGATAATAATTTTAAAAAAATTTACCAATTTTAATTTATTATTCCCTAATGCCCTAGTTAAATAACAAACAGGACCACTTTTTTGATCGAATTTTTGGAACTCAAGTTCAGTTGCCGGAATCAGTTTAAAGAAAACGTTTTATCGGACCCATAGTATTGTTGTTATGGCTTTTTGGAGGACAGTGCTTGTAAGCCAGATAATGCTAGTTCTCTGCTGGGGCGAAGAATTCCCCTGTAAAATGTGGAGCGACTTAAATAGTGATAATTTTGATAAATACATATATTGTCAGTGTAATAGTCCCGGGATACAAAGCAAGGATATGAAAATTATTAATGAGCAAGGATCAATTGAATATCCAACGGAAATTGTTGACAATATAACTATTGGGACAAAAAACCCTCCTGAAAATATCTACTGCTCTATGAAAGAATCAGAGTTTACATTCAAGAGGTATCCATATATCCGAGGACGTGTGTATAAGAAATTTGAAGCAACAGACTTCATCTGTCGATCCTTCAAAAATGAATATACTGGAAACTGCTCCTTTAAGCTAAAGACTTATTCGTACTCCCACCCCCATCCAAAATCCCTGAAAATAAAGTATTTCTTAAGTGGAAACGGATTACCCAAAGTTCAGTGTTTTTTCCGTAATTGGTATTCCTTGTTTATGAAGTGCAAAAATATTAACATCAACCAGAACATTGCCACAAACCACTTCGAGATAACGTCGAATCTACATAGCCAAAAATTTGATCTAAACACCCATCAAATTGTTATCCCGAATTGGGAGTCCATAGAAGTAGGTTTCCAAAATAAAACAATTTGTAATTGCACTAATATTTCATCAGAATATGAAAATCTAATTTGCAAATGGGCAATCAAGGGATCTTATTATCTTAAAAAATTTAAAACTGAAAAAAACACTTTTACTATAAAAGACCACAGAACTTTGTGCATTTCTGAAAAATTACTTGGCGATAAAAACATAAGGGTTGATATTTCTTGCCGTTTTAATTTAAATGAATCAGCCTGGTCGGAAAAGCGCAGTTACAATTTTAGGACTCCTATAATTTTACCTTCGAAGCCCCCAAAGATCTTACCATGCGGATTCTCCTATGATCGGGATGAAAACCAAATCTACATTTTCTGGGTTCACCTCAAACCGATTCAATGGAATGGACCTCACTTTGGATACATCGCTAAAACTGACCATGGGTAATAGATATATAAGCTCCGATTTATTTTCGTTTCATAGTCAATGCATCATTTTCCAGTGAAAGTGGTATAATTTTTGGAAATACTTCAGCGCTATTTCGGAACTGGGATGCCTCACTCTCCTCCACCATTTACATTTGGAGTAAGAACTCAAAGGGTGCTTCGGCCAATTGGTCAGAACTGAAACTGCCCATTCTGACAAATGACAATCAACGGCCCAAAAATGTTTACTATGATGACGAGAAAACTAGTCTCAAATGGGATCCACCAAACGATTTGAGCAATCTTATAGGATATATGGTTTACTGGTGTACCGCTTCCTTCAAAAATGTCCCTATCTGTGATGAAAATTATGACCTAAGAAGGCAGGCATTAAGTTCCTCAGTCCTTAAATATCAGTTTAACCTTTTAAACCCCTTTACCAATATGGGTGTAGCAGCCAGATATATTGACAAAATTGGAGGAGGTATAAAATGGGTAAATTTTTATTGGAATGTTAAAAGGAGGACTGACCCCACTCCGGGAGCAGGAATAAGTTACTATGCAGCTCCCATTGGCGTTTCAAGCCTCATTGTATTGTTGGTCTACCTTAACCGAAAGTGCCAAAAATGTAGGGATATAAAAGTGACCCTACCTGAGGGTTTAGACCAAACCCCAAATATTATCACACCTCCTTCTCCCCCGACCGTCATTGCTGGAAACATCTCACCAGAAGCTGTAATGAATATCAACGTGTTGATGTCGCCGGATAATACCTTAACACCCCCCGGACCAGAAAATAATTCCCCAGATACCAATATAGCAACAGAACCTCAAAGCAAATGCTCCAATTTATCTTTAGAAAAACATGACCCAGCAAAAAACATTGTTTCTTACAGCTCTTGTCCTGAAAAGTCCGTGCAAAATGGCATTTCGATAGCATTAGAGTCATACAGCACCATTCCTGTAACACCCTTCAAAAACTACACGCCGATACCTCCTGGATCTCTTACCCCGTGTGCTGAAAGGTCCTTTGAAAACGACAAGTCAGTAGAAAAAAATCCTTATTCATAAACTTTTTTCATTTATTAAAGTTTAATTTAAAGTAACCAAAGCGTATTTTAATAATGCCATATACGTGAAAACAGTTCCCATAATTTCATAAAAATACAATTATTAAGGAAACGGGTTATTATCAACAAAAAATCCCATGGGTTAACCATTATCAAAATATAACAAAATATATTACATATAATTACAAAACATATTGTCATCAAGAACTTGTATTTTTTATTGGTTTTTTTACTGTTTACTGGTTTACCGCCTCTCTCAAACCTTTGCAGGTCTTCGATTAAAAAGAACACCTAGGGATGCAGGATTTAGCCCCCCAGACCTCTAATATGATATGAAGGCTTATATGAGCCAACAATTTTAAAAATAAATTGAATTCTTGAATGATTAACTAGCTCTATATGGCATAAAAATAAGAGCACATAATAGCATAAGAATAATTTTTAGGTTTATAGTTTTTACTGACTTATAACAATTATTTTTTGAATTTTAATAATATTTAAATAAAACAAAAAAAATGTAAAAAAATATATACATATATGACTCATGAAATCTATTTGATGGAAAAAATTCGATAATACAAATACTTTTTACTTCGATAATATAAATTATACCCTTCGGTATTCCAGTGTATTCCCTAACGTCCCAGCGATAAGAACATTATTTAAAAGTTTTTTCTAAATGAAATTTTCTAACATTTTCTCGCATTTTTTCTTACGATAAGATTTAGTTGCCTAGTTCAAGTTAGTGAAAACGGTTCAATCGTCGCTAAAATAAACCAAACATAACTTTGAATCGAAGGATCTCGCTCACTATGACCTTTTTGAGAACACTCCTTATAAATCTGACGATGATAGTGCTCTGCTGGGGCGAAGAACCCTCCTGTCGCATATGGTCGGAGCGGGGAAGTGTTATTCGCGTAAGAGAATATTTATATTGCCAGTGTCGGGTTTCCGGCCTTCGAAGCAAATCAATAGAGATAAGCAGATTTTTCCCGTATAGACAGATGCCGAAGATAATAGTTGACAATACCACTGTCAAAACTAAAATAGTAGAGTCCTACGAGACAACAAACATTTTTTCGTGCGACTGGCAATGGAGCTTGGTACTGTTGTATAAAGCCAATATTACAGTAATTCCCCTACTGAATGTGAAGAACTTTGAGTGTCGTTCTTATCCCTATGATAATACTGGAAACTGCAGCTTTCTTCGAGTAGGTCTCTGGCGGTTCAATGAGAAAAGCTACTTCTTAAGTGCGAATGGATTTCCTAGAGTTCAGTGTATGGAATCATCAATTAAGGAAACCATAGTCGAGTGCACGAATATTCCCATATACCAGGAAAAGTTGAGCCATATATTCAAGATAGAGATGGAATACGTAGGAGACGTTCAGTCCCAGGAGATTCTCCTGAATATTCAACAGATCGTATCGCCTAGTTTCTCTATGTTGCAAATAGAAAATATTACCTTGGAGAACTGCAAATGTTTATATATTGGCTTTTGGAAAACGCCTTTAGACATGATTTTTTGTCATTGGAGCCTTATACCGGCAAGCTCTAAAGTAGTACGGTTTGATAGGAACTTTTCAACTAATCTAAACACACTTGAGTTTAGGGATTGCCCTCAAGTATCCATCCCTGCTTATCAAACGGTAGCATTTCAAGTCTCTTGTCGCGTCAATGTCCATGGGTCGCCCTGGTCCAAGAAGTACTTTCAAAATTGCAGAACTATGGAGGATCTTCCCGGCAGACCCCCCGAAGTAGTACCCAACGGATTCTCTCACGATCCAAACCATAATAGCCTATACGTATTTTGGACGCACCTGGATGAATTGGAGTGGAATGGACCGGACTTCACATACACAGTGGCCAATGGGCATGGGTAAGCGTGAAATCAGTATATTACAATAAATTGTGAATATTATTTTCTAGAAAAAAAGCATTAAGAATTGGAAATACCTCTGCAGTCTTTGACGACTGGGATGCCTCAGTTTCCACCACCGTTTACATTTGGAGTGAGAACTCTAGGGGTCCGTCCCTCAACAAGAGTCAAATAAAAGTTCCTATTCTAAAAAACGCCAATCAACACAAGCCGGAAAATCTTTACTATCGGAAAGAGAACCACATATTATTCTGGAATCCGCCAAACGACAAGAAAAACCTCGATGGATACACTGTCTACTGGTGCTCCGCCACCACCAACATTCTTCAGATCTGTGATGAAAGTGAAGCCATGCAAATAACGTCCCTGGACTCCTCCCAGCTCCAATTTCAGTTTCCAAAATCCATGATCTTCTCCAACATGGCAGTGGCAGCCAGGTACACTGACAAAATCGGCGGTGGGATGCAGTGGACAGGTTATAAGTGGACGTCTAACAACTATAAGGCCTCTGACCCCTCGGGAGCTGGTATAAGTTACTATATAGCTCCCATTGGAGTTTCCATCCTAATTGGTCTGATCATTTACCTGTACCGAAAATACAAAAAATGTAGCAATATCAAAGTTATTGTTCCCGAATTTTTGGAGAGACACATGATTGTTAATACTCCTGCTCCGGCCGTCTTTCCTGGAAACTTATCGCCGGAATTTGTAATGGATGTAAGCCAATTAATGCCGCCCAAGAAAGCTCAAATAGAACAAGAATACAAAGACAATGCCGAACCAAAAAATGATGCCCAAAACAACTTTACTGCCACGGGCTCATACAGCGCCATTTTTAAGAAACCCTTCGAAAATGACCCTTCAATAGCCACAGGCTCATACTGCATGACTCATTTGTAATCCTCTAAACATTTGAGTTATATTTTTTATCGATGTCTTTTTTATTTCTACGTCCAAATCATATATCATATCTTCGTAACCTAAGTTCAATAAGGATTTTCAAAGCTAAAGTAAATGATACTTAAATATGCAACAAAGCCGATGTCGAAACAATTAGCTTGTGTCCCAGGAGAAGGCATTTTGAGTCAAAAGAGTCCCCCGAGGCCTTGGCCGGGATTAGTTTCCTTGCATGTAGGATATAATGTTCAATGCACTAAGTAAATATTTGCAATAAGCTGACAAATGAGGAGGGATATTCATTTTTGGGTCCTCAATTATGGACGAGACTCGCGAATTGTTGACACACTATAGCCTTTGTAATGCCGCAAACACAAATCATACTATCCTTTTAAATTATAGATGGAAATTATAGATGGATTGTTGATAGAGGGGCGTAAAGTATTAGCCGAAAATTAAAAAACAAACAATCAAGCCAATTGCCTCATTGTGGGTCACAGAAGGTCAATAAATTGTTGATTGTCGGCCCAAGGACAAGCCTGGCTATAAAAAACCCCTTGCAGATGGGTTTATTTTCTCTTTCTCGGCTCACTGGCCGACAGTTCAACTCGAGCTGGCTTAGCAGGTTTAGTTGTCAAAAGAGTTTGGCCCGAGGTGACTTTAAGCAAATAAATCTGAAATAATTTCAGGCTCTGGGTAAATAAATTCAACTCCTTTGTTTGCCTGTCATTCCTTTGGCAGTCTTGTGGGACTGGTTTTCAACTCGACTCGACTGCTCAGTTGACTGCTCAGGATTTTTGAAATTTATTGTCAAAGCATTCGAGTGTTTTTTATCTTTTTCCCCTGAGCAGTTACCCTCTGGCTTATTGCAATCAAAACTATAACAATTATGGTATGGAAATTGATTTGTTATTATTATTTTTACTTTTTCAATGGCCTTGCATCCAAAGCTGCTTAGTAAATTGAATGCACTTGATGCCAAAATGCTTGAAATTGACAAGAGCTGTCAAATGACAAATGAATTTAAACGTGATTCAACAACTGGTTAAAACAAAACTATGAAGATAATGGAGAACTGGGATTTAAAATCGCCAAAAAAATGTATTCACATTTGGTTCAAAACCCACAAGTTTAATAAGCACTTCTAGTTTACTTCACTTCAAGTAAAAGAATAAATATTCTTTATAAAAACTTTGTAAATAAGTTATCAGCTAGAATATTATTCAATAAAAATACTATAAACTAAATAAAATTCTTCAAGGACCGATTTACATATTTAATAAAAGAAATTTTAGAAAAAAATGAGTTTTATGAAGTTTGTGAATCTGTTACACTGTGTTTTATTCAATTTAAATTTACAGTTGATAGGTTTCCATCTGTGCGGAAATTTCATTATGTATTTCTTTTCTAACTTTCATTAAAAAAAAGGAAAAAAAAACAAACTTGAAGCTGATACTTTAAGTTGAGCTTTTCATAGCATACTTTTCAGGTCACTTTTAGTTTTCACTTAAGATGGCCTTCATGCATAAGAAGCTAAGTAACTGTCACTCATCATTTGATTCATCTACATACGTTCTCATTACTGTCAAAATTATGACAATTACAATGACAATTATTATACTTAAAGCGATTACTAGGAAAATCAAACTGTTAGTTGTCAGCCAACTATCAGCCAACATCCTTGGAGCACAATTGCAAGTGAATTGCGAATGAAAATTTCGGTTTCAATGGAAAACTCCAAAAACAGGACAAAAGAGGAACCAATTAAATGGGATGAAGTGAAAGTACATTTGAGCAGATCGAAATGAGGGGCAGCATAGGAGGGATGGGGACCTAATTGAATAGTTGTTGCAACAATGGTGGCAACTTGAAAGCAATGGAACCAAGTCGGTTCCATAAATCGCATACCCAAATAGCCACATGGGAGAGTTTGAATTGTTCGAACAAAGCCACAAAATCAATGGCAAACATCAACAGGAAGCTACGAGCTAATTACATTCCCCTTATGCCTCTGTGTGAGTGTATGTTTACTGGGGGACAGAAAACAATTTGTTGGGTAAATTATCTGCTAAATTAAGCAATTTCAATTCAAGAAACGAAACCACAGTGAGGGCAAACACCAAAAAGAAATACAAATCCAAAGAAGCTCTCGAGACCTGAAACCTGAAACCTTCAAATCCTCGACAATTTGCCTTCTATTTTTTCCTGTTTGTTTTATATATGTTTGCTTATATATGTGGGCATGAGGTGCGGGAATGCTGCACAAATCGGTTGCTAAGTAGCTCATAATGGCCATGCTTGCCTCGAAATATTCCCACTGGGATGCCATCATCCTTAAATTCCTCCCGCCACAACTAAAAACTGTATGTCCGATTTTCTTTGAAGTCGGTAATATGACGGGGAATGTGTATTACTTTAATAGAAGATCTCTTTAGACGTTTATTACAACCTAATGCTAAAAGTTTTTATTTCTTTTGGTGCTAGCATTAAGTTATTTGCATCCATCCCTAACCACAAAAAAAGGATAAAGGTTGCCAAGGTACAACTGTTGCACGTATCCGTATGTATACGTGGGTGGGCGGGAACTTTTGATAAATGCAGATTTTATTGTAATTCGATATCAATTTGTGGGTGGTTGTATATATATGCATCCGAGGGCCCCCTGGCACTCGCTGACCGTTCTTTCAATATTGATATTGATACACGATTTTATGGCAAACATTTAAACTACCCCAAAACGAGCAAATTAAAGTGAAATCAAAAACCTCAATAAAAATTGAAGGAAAAAAATATTGGCAAACAGTTTAACATCTGAAACAGGAATGGGTGAAAGGAAAAAGGACCTCCTTTCCAGCTGAATGCCAGCTCACATTAATCAGGCAACTACGGCAGGCAAATTACATCAGTTTTGTTTGGAAATGTTGCCATTTAATTTAATGAGACATCATTATGCCAAAACTTTAATCTCATCATCAGAGGCGCCAGTAATGGAAAAAGCAAAACCAGCAGTAGCAGTAGCTGTACCAGAAAAAAAATCTGTAATTATTGAGACACGGTTTTTTGGTTGCAGACAGCTGGTGCACCTAAAAAAACACTTATTCATATTAATTCTTTTTTAATAAACATATATTTTTAGCTTTAGTTTCCATTTATTATTCTCTCAATATTAAAAAGAATATAATAATGCCTTATTTATTTTATTAAATTTTTTGTTGAGTGAAAAAGTCAATGGGCGGTGGGCGTATCATGTGCTGTTAATGATGTTTGGCAACTTCAACTCCACGCCACACACGCATACACACAAAGAAATACAAACACATCCATACACACACACACACACCTACGAATGTATACTCAGGCAGACACCTTTAGCATCCAATTAGCGGCAAAACGAGTTTCCGGATCTCTCTCACGTGCTCTCCATCCATCTTTCATCCTTGCCCTGCTCCAAATCCCCTACCCCTCCTTTCCACTCACTCCTTTCTAACAAGCACTCGAATCGTCTTTTTTTCACACGAAAAACGCAACTCACATATGTTTCATGTTTTATTTTGTGTGTGTGTGTGTGTAGTAGTTTTCACTCCCGCACATACAAACACAAACACACACACCACACCCTTGAGCTTTTGTGCAGCAGCAAACAAACAAAAAACAAACATGAACAAACAGGTAGCATGCAAAAAAAATGAAAAATGGCAACACTTTAACTTTTGAACGGCAGACCGCCCCCGAAGCCCCGCCCACTTTGCCTACCTGTTACCTTTTTCCAAATGCGTATTTTTTAGCCGAGATTATTTTTGTTTGCTTTCTACACACAAAAAATAGTTGTATACTTTATTTAGCTGAAATAAAACAAAATTATACAATATTTCTTACTTAATTATTTATTAATCTATGTATGATCAATAATTAATTAATAGTACAATTAATATCAAGAAATTCATAAAGAGATCTGTTCACATGTCGTATGAGTAATATTTAATCTTGGATAATATTTTCCCATTACTCATACGCAGTGTGGGCTTTGAAGAAAGCTTGCAATACAGCAAATAAATATGCTATATCTTTAGTATTATTTCCTTATTCAAAATTACTTTCTACTTTATTTTGTCGCAGTGCCTCACTTTTCAAATATGTGTAACTTTTGCATAATATTCGTGGTGGAATACAAAAAAAAAACGAGAAACAAAACCCCAACTGGTTGCATAGTGCTACATATTGTGAAGCGGAGGAGTCAACAAGCGTAAGGTGGCTTGGTTTCACCGGATTCCAATTAAGTTTTAAATTTTTAGCAGACAAGCTTATGAATGATGACGTCCATTTTGATGGCCGCTCACTTGGCAAATATCCAAATAACAAAAAGGGAATGTTCACGCTTTCCATTTCTTTTTCTTTATGGCAAATGTGCTAATCATTTTCATTGCAACAAACTAGCCGAGGAGAACAAATGGAAAACACAAGAAACAAGAGACTGCAGGCGCCTCGTCCTTACAATGAACCCCATACCCCATCCTCACCTTTCAAGGACTTTATCCGCATGCATTCCCAAGTAGTTGAACATGGGAGTGCCATTATGGGAAGTAATAAACAAGAAATGGAATAACTAAATTGTCACTGATAGAATTGCAGATGCTCTTTGTCCTGTAATTAGCATTTTGTGCTTTTAGGATAAACATAAGTATTTCTTAAATCGAGAGAACACTAGGCAACACTTGTTTAAAGTATCTTAATAGTTATTAGCTGCATCTACTTTGAGGAAATCATTTATGAATGTACATATACATATGTATACTACATTTATTAAAACAGAAGCCTTTAAACCTTTTTATGAAACCTATTACAAATAAAATCAAGAATAATCAATAATATTTTTAACAATTTATATTTACAATTAGTATTTTAAAACAAAGGTAATTTAAAACCTATATTGAAAACTTAAAAAAAACGGACAAGTCTAAAAAGTACAAAATAATTTATGCATTTTAAGCCGCTTTGACAACTCT